TTTCAGCTGAGAGGATACTCCATGGGCCAGGGCTGGTCACAGCTCCACATCATCCTCAGGATATTTCTGATGACGGTTTTGAAGAAGAATATCAAAGCAGGGGTTGAATGAAAGGGAAGGAGTCTGTGCATTGTGTTTTCTCCTCTTGGTTCCTGAGTCAGCAGACTGCATTTTGGAAAAGGCACCGAGACCTCAACTCTCATTAGGACTTGGCTGCCCTGCTCCTCAGGCCCTGCACACACCTCTGTCCCTGTGCTGATGCCGGGAGGGCTTTGCAGGGCAGTGCTGAGGACTCAGCAGGTGGGAAGGGGTCTGTGCACACTGACAGGGAGGAGTTGTAGGAATCAGAAACAGCTCCTGGCAGAGACATCTCCAGGCAGGGAGGGAGAGGAAAGTGCCACCCGAAATGCCTTGGGAGAGGTGATTCAGGCTCCTCTCTGCCATCCCCTGCAGTGCAGATGCCTTAGCCAGAGCAAGGTTACCTGGCAGGAGAGACACCATGATCAGGAAGGGGGTACTCTCAGGGCAAGCCTCACCTCCTACACTAATTTTTCTTCACCTGAAGTTTGAAAGGCATTGAGCACGGGTGCAGTGAAGCAGTGTGGGGTTTAGATGTAGCAGCATGCTTGCTGCTACCTATACTTATTTCCCAATAAGCATCTCCTGTGGAAAAGCCACTTGGGGAAGCATTCAGGCGAAACCGTCAAGCCCACACACACCACGCTCGGTGAAGAGAGGCAGAGGGGGCCTTTTGTACACTCAGTTCCAGCAAGGTTCATTTCAACACGCCCAAGGGAAGCCAGAGACAAAAGTCAGGACTGTGTGCTCTGCACAAGATTAAGTAGGGGAGGGCATGGGGGTGGCACAAAGGGCAGGGCAAAGGGCTTTGGCTTTCAGGGAAGATGGGGCTGGCCACCAGGGATACCACAACCAATGAGGAAACAGGGAAAGGACAAACATGGGGAATTTGGGACATATGGGGCAAGGAGCTGGGATGGATCAGTGTTAAGCAAGAGTCCATGAGGAAGTCCTTTCCATCTGCCCAGGTGGGGTTAGCTCTATGGTAAGTGCCTCCAAGGCAATGCTCTGGGGATTTCCCTGAGGGGGAAAGATTCAGAGGATTCCATAGCACAGCACAGTGGTGAAGTCACCATCCCTGCAGGGATTTAAAAGACGTGTAGAAATGCCACCTGGGGATGTGGTTTAGTGGTGGTCTGGACAGTGCTGGGTTAACAGTTGGACTTGTGGTGTTGCTGATCTTAAAGGTACTTCCTAATTTAAACAATTCTTTGCTTCTAAGCCCCTGGTCTGCTCTCCATCCACAAAAGTCCCTGCTGTTAAGGCCATTGGTACAAGGATGAGGTACCTCCTCAGCAGCCCAGCCTCTGATGAGGAGATACCCCCTTGAGCCCATAAATCTTCCCTGACCTGCCCCACTGGCAGGAGCATTGGGGTATTTCTCTGTTTCCCTTCTTTGTCACCATCTCATCTGGGGTCCCCTGGTGTTGCAAAAAGTGAGGCTGCAAAGAGGTGAACCAGCCTCCATGGAACCCAGAAGGCCCTTTGTAAGACTCTTTTCTCCAGGCTGAGCCCCTTGAGATTCCTCAGCTGCTTCTCATTAAACTTGTGCTCCAGACCCTTCCCCAGCTCTGGAATGCCCCAGCCCCTCAATGTCCCTCTTGTTATGAGGGGCCCAAAGCTAACTCCAGGATTTGAGGTGAGGCCTCAGCAGTGCCCAGCACAGGGGGACAGTCACTGTCTGAGTCCTGTTGACCATGATAGCCGGTTCCTAAATGCTTATCCACAAACTCTTACCTTGGATGGATGGTCTTCAACCATCCCTGGGCGCAGCTTGATCCATTCTAGTTCCTCTCACACGTAAAGAGCAGTTCCAGCCCCTCTCTTTGCTGACCCATCTTTCTTAGTGTGTAGCCATCCACACCAGCATTCCAGTCATTCCAGCTATCCCACCACATCTCTGTCATGGCAATGGGACCACGGCCCTGTGACCACACACAGCTCCCCAGTCCTTCCCATTTGTTCCCCATGCTGTGTGCTTGGTCTGCAGGCAGTTCAGGGGGAATGGAGCAGGCAGCCTTCCCAGGAGGGGTCCAAGAGGATACACAACAGCCATACACACCCCTGAGGTGGCTGGTCTGGTCTTCTGCTCTCATCTTGGGAGGCCACAAAGGAACATTTGCCCCTGCTCTGGGGGTCCTGGCTTATTCCTCGATGTGATGGTGGAAGTGCCCCCAAGTCCTTCAGTTTAAAGCCTTGCTGTCCAAGGTGCCTGGCCTGCTGTCAGGTTCCCTGACCTCTTCTAGACATGTGGATCCCATCCCTCCCTAACAGGTTGTAGTCATCGAAGAACGTCCTCTTATCATAAAAGGCAAATCCCCATGATGGCACCAGCCACAAAGCCAGAAATTGATTTGCATTACACATCTGTTCCTCCCCTGTCCTCTTATGGGTGAAATGAAGGAAAAGATTACTTGGGCACCAATATTTTTCACTTGGACCGCCAAGGCTTTGTAATCTTTCTTGATTTTGCCCAGTTTCTGGCTTGTGTGGTGTTTGTGCCAGAGGGAAGAGCAGCTGTGGAGAGCAGTCTGTGCTTTTGAGAGGTTGTGGTGCCCTCTCAACCATATCTCAGGCCTCAGCTGACAGAAGGTAGGTTACCTCACATGGCTGGCTGCTGAAGGCCTCACGGTCCCTTAACAGTCACGCACTGTGAGCACTCATCATTTCTTTTACAGTGTCCCCTCTGTGCCTCTGGGACAGTTTCTCCTTGCAGACCTTGCTCGTGGGTGTCTAGAGCTGCCAAAATGCTACTTCTGGGTCTGGTGTGGTGCTGGAGGGCGGAGACTGAAGCACTGCTGTGCTTCCGTGGGTCAGCAGCTCTGAGGTGCCTTGTTCTCAGTGCCTGCCAGAGGAACATGGTTCTGAAATCACCTGTGCACATCCATGTCAGGTCCTCTAATACTGCACAGCCTTTTAACTGTTTCCTGTTTGTGAGATAATAGATCATCAAACCTGTGCACACCTTATGAAGGTATTTACATTTTCTCCAGGAGAAAGGTCTGGGCACTTGTTGCAACTCACCACCTTTACTGAACTCTCCTTCCTTACCACTTGTATCTGGGTGAAGCCTTCCCTTGGCAAGGTCCATGGCTGCTGGACACCAGTTGACTGGAGTGTCTGGTGTGAAATCATGTCTGAGAAAGAACACACTGCTCTCCTCCCTTTGCAGAGGGAGCTTCCCCTATAGCAAAATAATCTGGAGTTACCCATCTCACAGTTGTTGGGGGACACAAGACAGATGATGGACTTTGGACCTGGTTAACATAAGAGATTTGGTAACAGGATGCCTTGGCAAAAGCAAATGGAACTTTGAAAATTACACCTAGATTGCAAGAAGATTCAATCAAACGGGTTTACTAGAAAAAGAAAATACCATTAAACTTTGCAAGCAAGAGATGTTGTTATATGCATAAGTTTGTGTATGTGATTTTAACCTAATCATTGTAGCACACATTACTAGTCTCCCTGAAATAGTATACAAGTGTTTGTATCCCACAATAAAATCGGATTCTGATCACTGAGTCAGTCCCCCTGTCTCCATCGCCGACACACGATGTGGAATATCACCAGGTCACAGGTGAACTCATCCCCAGGGTTTGTGCTGCTGGCAGGTGTGGGGACAAGCACAGCCATGACCTGTGTGACGTATGATGGCAAGAGACACAAGCTAGGTGCAAGTGAATTTACTTCATTTGCGAAGCTCACCAGATTTATATCCTTAGCACAAAAGCTATTTCTAACTGCAAGCTTAAAACTAATCACAGTTCTACAATAAATCTGTCACCTCGACATCTTCTATTATTCTTTCCAGAGTCACGAGTCAGTAGAGCAGAAAAACTGTTTTGTTTCAGATTCTTCTTGTTCTGAAGTGGTTTCTTGTTCAGCTGGTGTAGTTTGTCCAAACACGTGATATTGCTGCCACTGTTTTTTCTGTAACCCTTTCCTTACCCCAACAGACCTCCCCCACTGACATGCAGCAGGATGCAGTGAGCCATTTTCTCCCAAGTGCCTGCAAATCCCACCGGCTGAAAGGAGCAGGAGACATTGCTCAGAGACAATGATGCTGACACACATGCAGACAAATGACACCAAAGTAATTTCATTGTGTACATTTCAAAAAAGTCCTTGTTGCTGGAACATCTTTTCAGTAGAAATTGTGTTCAACAGAACAAGGAGAGTTGACAACATGAGTTGCAACTGGAGAAATTCTGACCAAAGAGAAAGGGTTGGGTCAGACCCTTGAGAGAGATGCAGCATTGGACAGAGGTCCAGAAATATAACAAGATCTCTGCCCTGGGAAACCCTACACAACTCAGCCAAACAAGGTCCAAAGACACCAAAGGCAGCCCTCAGGTAAGCCCAGCCCTGAGCAGCTGGTTGCCACAGAAACTCCACAGGTTCTTTCTAACCTCAATCCTTCTGTGAGTATAAACTACCAAGTTCTCCTAGAAAAGACTTATCTCATTCCCTCACATTCATCACAGTCATATTTTGAGAGGTCCCAGGACCCAGATAGAACCAAAAGAGGATTTTTTTCTCATAGACAATACCAGTGGAAATGGGAAGATGAAAATACCCTCACCAACACTGAAAATGCCACCCATCCCTCTTTATAATCCAGACAGATCTAGATCCATTTGGGGGTACTGATTTCAGGAAGAAGAGTGCAATCAGGAGAGGTGAGAGCTAGGAAGTACCCTGCCAACAGCCCCACTGCCCAGCTGCCTTTCTCTGGCTTAAATTCAAGCCAGAAAATATCATTCTTCTTTTTCACATCTTCTGTAGAGTCTTCCCGTGGCCCATCCTCCTGCATCCACCACCTTCACCTCCCAGAACTGTCTCCCCGAAGGTGAAGCCATCACAGCCAGCACACAGCAGCATGGGTTAAATCCCTCAGCGATGTCCTGTTGTGTGTCACCTCATTTCACACTTTTGCCATCATCAGACAGGACAAGGTCCCAGCGGGCTGTTTCTGGATCCAGAACCATGTTCACTGCAGGTGAGATGGAACCAACACATCAGGGCAGAGCTCATCCCAGGGGAGCTCTTGGCTGGGGCTGCCTGAGGAAGCAGCAGAGTGGGAGAGGGAGATGGCAGACTGCAGGACATGGAGGTTCAGGGACAGCACACCGTGACCGACATGATCCAGTGAAGCCAAATTTATTATCCCTAAAAGACTATATTTATAGTAAGTCTCTACTATCCACGCGTCTCTAGCTAATACATGATTGGTTAATCCTGTCTGTTCACACATCTAAATTTGAATGCTGATTGGATCACCTAATTTTTCACGCGTCTTGCTGTGCTACTCAGGCCCACCCATGATTTACTTTTTTCTGACTTTCCCAAACTTGCTGACAAACTTGCTGAGTCCTGATGACTCTTCTTGTATCTCCTTCAAGGATATACCAACCCCATTTCTGAATATGTCCATTATTCATTGCCTGTGTACGTGACCATTGTCCATTAGAACAAGCAGGCTGGATTGTGCATCGGCTGAATATGGCCATTGTCTAACAAAACCTCCTCAATCTGCAAAAAACTCTCAACAGCAGATTGTGGCAGGGGAAGATGCATGTCCTGGGTTGCAAGATGTGGGTGGAGGTGTATATTCTATTACCATCTGTTAAAGGTGGGCAGTTATCTTCTGTTAATTGGGCAGTTTATCTCTTCCACAACCAAATCTCCCTCGGGGGAATATCTGCTGTTAATGGGCCATTGAGTCTCACTGGTAAAATTACATCATCCTATTGTGAGATGTTCCACCCAGAGGGAGGAGCCAAGCATTCCTACCTGGATATAATCTAAGATTTGGAAGACCATAGTCAGCCTTTTCCCACCAGAATCCCAGAGGAAGGCCAGGCCCATCTACACCCCCACTGGATCTTCAGAGGAAAACTCCACCCTTCTATAGGATCACTGCTTCAACAGAACCATGCCTGTCACTGCAGGAGGACTGCAGCCACCACACTTTCTGTGGATCTGCAATGATTGTCCTTAAAATTACAAAATCGATTCATTCAAATTAATTGCATTATATGTATCCAAACCATTTCCATCCCAAATGTCCCCCAGAAATGCAACCCATGAATTCTTCCATTTGAAGATTTCTCCAATTTCTGGAAAATGGAAAGTAAAACTTACCTATTTTTTTTCTGATGCCTTCCCATGAAGAAAATAAAGAAATGCAAATAATTTTTAAAATCATCCCTTCCACCAAGCACTGATTAACCTCCAGCAGGTTACATGGCAGAAGGGCTGCAGGGTCTGATGTGCCTCAAAGCACGTGCTGCTGCAGTGCATTTTGGTATATGCTTAGTCCAGTTCACCATTGCATCTCTCCTCTGATATATTTCCAGCCCCAAATCAATCGATGTTGTGTTGCACTAAGTAGTTTATTATAAACTAGTTGTTATTATTGTGCACTGGGTGATTGATGTTGCAGTGTGTTGCAATTTCCTGGTTTAAACTTCCCAGTCCCTTCCCAGGTGTGGCAATACCTCTCTTCCCCTTCCTCCTCGCCCCCTGCTGGGTTGTCAGTCAGTCTTAACATTCCAGCAAGGCCATCGTGTGGTTGGTCAGGTTCAAAGGATGCCCTTCAGGCCTGGGGTCACTGGCCTGTCTGGGTGTCCCTCGTCCCCTGAGACCCTCCTCCTCCCACCTGGTTGCTGCTCATCTGTCCCTTCCCCTCCTCTTGTCCCTGGGCTTAAATTCAGCCAGGACCATGTGCTAGGGATTCTGTTGGAGCTGTTACCAAGATTCAGATGTCTGTGACCATGGAATAAAACTCTGGATCAAACCCTCTGCAGAATCTGTCTCCTTTTCCTCTTCACCCTAGCCTGAAGCCCTTCCACCTGAGATAAACTGAGTTTCTAACCTTGCCTGGACTTGTCCCAGTGCCTGCTGCCCCATCCAGCCAGCCAAAGGTGCCTCTGAGGTGTCTCTGACTGTGCCTTTGGCCCAGCAGCAAGGGTCAGACGAGCCCAGGCACAATCTACCTGGTAATATTGGGATCTTATTCCCATAATTGGAATTGTGCACTGAGTAGTTTTTATATTGCACTGAGTGGTTTGTTTGTATGACATGGTTTGTCCCTTCTCCCCTCTCGTCCAAAGCCCAGTGGTGCTGGTCTTAGCCCGGGTTACTTCCTCCCCTCGCCCCTCTATCAGTTGTATCCCATGGGCTGTGGCCCCTCTCCCTGCCCCGTTCCCCCGGGTTTAAAATCTCCCACCATGAGCCATTCCTGCTCTTTCTTCTCCTGGACAGCTCCATCCCAGGCTCTCTCTTTTCCTGGACACCATTACCTCTCTCCCAGACGCTCTCTTTCCCTGGAGGTGTTCCACAATAAAGTTGTGGGACGTTCATGCTGACAAGAAGAGCATCTCTCGTCTTTTGCTTTTGTCCTTGCCGGTGAAGCCGGGGTCCAGATAATGAGATGACTGGTTCTCATAATTAAAAGATAACTATTGTGTGAATATTAAGAAAAGCTTTAGTGATGTATAGTTATGTTATTGTAGTTTAGATGTCCTCTGTTCTCCCATAGTTCCCTTTCCCCCCCCGTGTTGTGACCACCAGACAGCCTGGGATGTCTAGGACAGGTAAAAAAGGTGTGCACAGGTGTCCCTTGCATGGGGCAGCTGGGAATGGAAAAGCTTGGGGGTGCTTAGGGGGTGAGGCATGGCAACACCTGACCTCCAATCCAGTTACAAAGCAGTCTCCATTGATAAATGGCAAAGAAGAGCAGGCTGACAGACTTTGGGAAGGGCCAGGGCTGGCTGATGCAACCCCAGGGGTATAAAAGACTGAGCATCCACCTTGAAGATGAACTGGCCACGTGGTGTGCACGAGGGGCAGTTCCCAGCCCTGCAGCTTTTTCCTTATGTAGTCCTTTGCTGTATTTTTGTCAAGGTTTAATAAACCTCTTTAACTTTTCAAAGTGAGCAGTTGTCTCTCACACAGAACTCGCCAAACCGGACCCCCACACGATTCTCAATCCAACAAATCATCCAGTGAAACAGGAGCTTTCCTGTGACACAAGGGAAAATAAAAAATGCATTAAATATCTTTAGGTGCCAAATTGAGACACAAGGATTTCTTTCTCATACTAAACCTGTAGGACACGATTTCACGGCGGGGGAGACTAAGGGCATAGATTGGTTTTCCCTTTTTCATTTAGTTCCAGTGTTTATTTCAGCCAGGGGTCTGTAGGAACTCTGTCACACTGAAGGCTGTTCCTTTTCCCCCCGATGGAAGTGATGGATTTGGGAGCACAGCTGCACATACCCTATCAAAGTCGCAGGGAACAGAGAGACCCCAGGTGAGCCTGTGGGGTGCTGGATACTGGGGCATGTGGTGATTTGGCTGTTCCTCTTCCTGACAATGGCAATCTTTGACACAGAAAAATCAAAGAGTTTTTTTCAGACAAATGTCACCTGGAGTCAGGACATTTCTTGCAATCTCATTTGCATAACATAGAAATCTGCTCTGGAGGCCTGTTCTGCAGGAAAATAATCCACAGGCCTGGATATTATAACATAAATGCCCAAACTACAACATTCTTTATTACCCAATGCCTAATTTTTTTCTTACACCTTCTTATATGAAGAAAACAATAGCAAGAACACTTCTGAAGGAGGAAGCATATCTCCTTATGGCCACTTGGTGGGCTGTTGGAGAATTTTGCTCAGAAATGGCTTATAGAGTTTTGTTCAGACAGGCCATAATCATATACAGCTGATGGAAAAGTAAAAGGCAGCTGTGAGGAGCAAATTCTCAAAGCCTGTTTCTGTAAACAACAAGGTTCTCAGGCACGTCTATGTAAACAGCAGAACTTCTCAGGTTGTTTTTTAATAACAAGTAAATATCTTGTCCTTGGATAAGTTTTGGGAAAGCAAAAGTGACAAACATGGAAACCTTGAGAACCGTTCATATCAGGGTGAGAAAACAAATCTTGGTTTCAATAACAAACCACAGGTATTGAAAACAAAAGGAGGGATTAATGTTTAATCTGTAACCAATGATGAGCTCGGGTTTTGCAATATGTATGAGCTTAATTAACACTGTTATAAAAAGTGCCTGGTGGATCAATAAATAGGAGTCCGATGCTGATCAGAGGATGGGTCGTCTCCCTTCGCTTCTACAATGGGTAATTTCACCTCTCTGAGACAACCTTAGTATTTTCAAAATGGGACTTAAGAAAACCCTATTTCCAAAGCAGCCACCTCAAACTGCTTCTGGGCAGGAGGACAGGGGAAAAGCACTGGCTGCAAGCAAGTACATTAGAGGTACCAAGGACATGAACTACAGCCCTGTCACCTTGAACTCTACCACAGCCTCGACATAATTTAGCCATGTTAAACAAAGCAGGTGTAATTCCCTCTGTCAGAGAGTTGGACATGAAAAATTTTCAAGTGTGTGCTGCCCTGGGCAGGGCCATCCTTGAGCAGCTCAGTGCACCCTCAATATTGAAGCATCTGCTCCCCATACTGGTCCTGTCCGCCCCTGTGGAGATGCACAAAGGGTGAGAGCTGCTCCCAAAACCAGGTCACCTCCGTGTCCTGTGCGTGCTGCTCTGGGGAGAAGCTGCAGGGCAGCATGGCATGCCTGCCCTTGGCCAGGGGATGGGGTTGGGGTGTCCCCTCACCCTGAGCAGAGCTGGGAGAAACACCCAGAGGGAGAAGAGAGAGCTGTGAGTTTGCTGTGGCACCTGAGCTCGGGCACAGCAGGTGCTGCTCAGCGCTGTTGGTGTGCTGCCAGGCCAGGGGTTGGGGTGGTTTATGGTGATAACTATTCCGTAATTATCTGCTTTATGCCCAGAAATGTCTGCAGGATCTTTAACATGAACCAGGGGGCAGGGCCAGAGCCTGGGAGCTCAGGCATGGGCTCTGTTCAATCTCTGTCCCTCTGGCATGGTCAGCAGCTACAGGGACTGTTACTTCATTGCTTTTGCTGGATTCATTTTCGCCAATTTAGGCAAGAAGCTTCTGGGTGTGTTTTACTGTTTTTGGTTTTGGGGTTTGTTTGTTTGTTTGTGTTTATTTTTGGTTTTTTTCTTCCCCTGGCCTGGAGGCTTTTCACCAGCAAATCCTTTTGGAGGATTTTTGGTTTTTTTTTCCTTGAACTGTTTTGGTTTGTTGTTTTTTTTTTTTTTTTCTTTGGCATGAGGAGCCCACAGTGGCAGCCCTGGCCAGAAAAACCAGCAAAAGAAGGGACATTAAAGTCCACCAACTTCATCTGCCATGAGGAGAAGTCCCACGCCAGAAATCCAACACATTCCCAGGCCACTTCACAATTTCTTTTCTTACCCCTTCCCAGAGACAAACAAGGGCAGCCAACATCTTCACCTCTCAGCGAGGTGGGGATGGGGTGAAAGGTTCAGAGTCTTTTTTCCTGTGCTTTGTGGGTATCTTGCTTTGTTAATAAATAGTTTTGCATTTTTTTCATTTTCATCCCCTGATATCTATTTCTCTCATTGGCAGAAGAAAAAGGAGTTATTGAAGCCCTTTCCCTCTAGAGGAAATGCCCATTCCAGGGTGTTTCCTCCTGAAATTTGTCTCCAAAATTGAGATACCAGGTCATTTTGCCAGCAGCATCCCCATGCCAGGCACAAGAGGTACTGAGGGGATCTGGGAGACGGACTGTCCCCAACTGCAATGCAAGATGTATTCTATTTGCCATCTGTTAGAGCTGTGGCAGTTACTTTCTGTTAATTGGGCAGATTTTCTTTATCTCTGCCACAATGTCATGGTTTGACACTGGCACAATGCCAGTGCCCCCATGAAAATACACTTTCCCTGGTATCTGCTGTGAGATGTGACCAGGAATAAGCAAAGCAGGCTTCTACTTAGAAAAAACTTTATTAACTAAACTACAAGAAAAAAAAAAAAAAAAGAAAAAAACACACAAGGAAAATGAAAACTTCACCAATACATCTCCCCCTCCTCCCCACCAAATTTCCAATACAATCCATTCCCCAAATCATCGACTCTCGGTCCGGCACCACCCTTTAGAATACTCAATCCTCAGTTCATCAAGGGGAGAAGAATCCTCCTTGTGGCCATGGGGACCTTTTCCTTTTCATGCCCAGTGCTCTCACTACTGAACATGGACCAGAGCTGCTTCTAGGGTTGTCTTTTAAGGATGCATCGTCCCACTCCAAAAAGGCACGATCTCAACTTTGGGACATCTGTCCCCCCCAGATTATTCCCCCTGGGGCCGAGGGGCACCAACACCGAACCCTCTTGGCTCTGGGGCATTGCCCCCCCAGATGCAGTCTCTGTATCCCAAGGAAACACAGTTCTGTACATGGCTGTACAGAAAGAGTCCAGCATAAGAGCCACTCCATCATCCCTTCCCACTCAAGGTTCTTCAAGGTTCTATTCTTTTCATATCTCTCCCTTGCTCAGACCTCCATCTCACTTGCTCAGTTCCTTCTTCATCCTCCACTGCATCTCCCCTCCAGGAAATGTCAATGCTCTGCAAAGATTTCATTGTCCACAAAGGGGTTAAAAGCTCCTACCAGCAGCTGGACTCCTTGCTGTCCCCGCCTTCGTGCTGTGCCAGCAGCACACTATATCAAATTCCAAGATAACAGTCCCAGGCACGGCTCTGTCTCTGTCTCCCAGAAGGGGGGGATTGGGGGAATACCTCTCAGTAGTTCTTCCATGCTCCCACCCCTGGGCCCCTCAGGGTCAGGCCCACCTCTCCCAGGCCGTGTGGCTTTCCCCTCTCCCCGCCCATCCAGCAGCTGGGCCAGAGGACAGATCCGAACGCTTCTCGCTGGAAATCCAAAGAGACCTTCCCAGGATAGAGCTCTGCTTTTAACCCCCCCCTCCGTGTTCTCAGAGGCGGATCCAATGTCCCAATGGCCAAACCAGGTGCCAATTTTAAAATCTGAGTACCCATTGGCCTGACCACAGCATCCCAGAAATCCCATTTCCTGTCAAACCACCACACACAACCACTCCTCCCTCTGGGGGGGACATCTGATAATGGGCCATTGAATGTCACTGCATGGCTGATAAGAACCACAGCATCCCACTGGGAGATGTGAGCCCAGAGGGAGGAACCAAGCATTCCTACCCAGATATAATCTGGAGATTCTGGAACACCTGCACGGCTTCTCCACGGGATTGCCCAGAGGAACAGCAGCTGTCTCTTCCACTGGATCTTCAGAGGAAGAATACATCCTTCTCTACAGATCCCCCTGGCTCCAACAGAACCACCCCTGACACTGCAGGAGGGCTGCAGCCACATTTCCAATTGGACTGCTACCAACACCCCCCAAGGTGTCAGGTTGAGTTCTGACTCTGTCAGTGTTGTTCTAGTGTTCTGCATTGTTTTATTCCATCCTTTAATTTTTTTTACTTTCCCTATTAAAGAACTGTTATTTCCTGCTCCCATATTTTTGCTGAGAGCCCTTTAATTTAAAATTTATAGCAATTCGGAGGGGTGGGGAGGGTTTACATTCTCCATTTCAGGGGAGGCTCCTGCCTTCCTTAGCAGACTCCTGTCTTTCCAGACCAAGACAGAAAGCAGGACAGCCTGCTCTGCCTTTTTTGGTTCGTTATTAAGAGATAAACAGGTGCAGAACGAGAAGTCCTGACCATATCAGGACTCATTCCACGTACCTCAAAGAGAGCAGGAAGTGGCCTTGGACCAGTGAAAAAATACCCAAAACACTAATGCAAGGCGCAGCCAGGACAGGACCTGACCCTGCTCTGCTCCCCCACCCTGAAGCGGTCAGGCTGGGGAAGGATTGTCCTTCTCAGATGTCCTGGCTAGCTGTCCAGCACCGCTAGTAGTGCAGGGGCACTCTCCCAATGTCCGTGGCTCGGGACAGCACCGAAGGCAAACGCTCTGTGCTATGACAGCAGCGTTACCTTGTGGTAGGACGTGGCTGGGCTTATGGCTGCAGTCAGCAGAAATAAGAGAGCGCTCTCCAGCTGTGGTGAACCCAGGTTAATTGAGTCCCAGGGGAAACCGACAGCCAAAGAGGGAGAAGTTACAACAGGTTATAAGGAGGGAGGGACACAGGGGAGGAGTCAGTCCTTGGACGAATAGGGTTTCAGAGGGGAGTGGGACACAAAAGATTGACTTAAGGAGAACACCAATGGGGAAAACTTGAGGGTGGAGCCCCGGCCCCTGAGCCAATCACTCGACGCTCTGGTTAGAAGTTTCTAGAGAGTTCCAGAGAGAAGGGTGGGAGCACTGAGTGAGGGACAGGGCACCGGGGAGGGATTTGAGAAGGGATACATTTATCTCCAAGGCAGCTGGGGAGGAGCTGGGATAACTGGCAGCATAAAGGAGGGAGGGGAGAACCAGCGCAGAACCATTACAAGATAGGGGGGAACAGAACGGTCCAACTTATACAGATGCAACACAACACCACCCCCCCTTTGTGCTCACTCACTTGGCTCCACTTTGCTAACAAGAGGTGAAAACCACGGGCAGTTCACAGATGTCAGAGGGTCCTTTCCATCTGCAGAGTCCCAAAAAAAGCCACCTAGCTGGAGCCCCTGAGCACTCTGAGCTGGAGGAGGAGCTGCTCGGCCATCACTCAGCACCTCGGAGAGGTCCCCTGGTCCCAGCTAAAACTTTCCCTGCCTGAAAAGGAAACAAAAATGTCACCCTGTCCCAGCTTGCTGCCCATTTCCTTGTGCGCTACCTCCGCTCCAAAATGAAAGTTGCTGAGGGATGTGGAGGATTTTGGTAATGCTTTTGCTCTGGACATGCTTTTGCTCTGGGTCTGCCTTCTGGCAGACCCAGCCCTGCTGCAGGGACTCTCCAGGGCTGCATGGGGCAGCCTCCTCCCACAGCTCTGGCAGCAGTTTGCACATCCCTGGCATGGGCGCAGAGGCAGTGGCAAGAAGGGAGGTGATAGAGCCAGGATTCACACCCAGAGGCAGTGCCAGGGGGGCAGCAAAGCCCAGCAGTAGCTTAAAAATTGCTTGAAAGCAATGCCCAGCTGAAAGGCGAGGACATCAAGGATGGGGAAATCTGCTGCCCTGAGAGAGGCAAAGGCAGTGCCAGGGGAGCTCAGCCCAGCGAGGTGCAGCACGATCCCAGCCCAGCCAGGCATGGGGGCACCTGCTGGGGCAAAGGGACCTGATCAGCAACCTGGCCAAAAGGGCTGACAAGGAAAAGAGAGAAGCAAAAAATAAAGGCTACAGAGACACAGATCTGGACAACTGTCCTGGTTTGAAAAACACATGTCTGCCAAGGAAGGCGGGAACGTCCCTTGGAATGGCCAAATTACTATAATTTGCATTATTATTCCAATATTATTATATTGGAATCAAGGGGCTTTCAGGCAAAGGCAAAGAAATGGGAAAATGAGTAAGAGTTCTTTAACAGTATGTATGTATATATATGTGTGTGTGTAACAAGGCAAACAAACAACCACAGCAGCAGCAACAACAGAACCACAAATCCAGTCCCCGTCCCAGCCCCAGCCCCAGTCCCAGCCCCAGCCCCAGCTCCAGCCCCCGCCCCGGTCCCAGCCCAGTCCCAGTCCCGGCCCCGGCCCCGGTCCCGGCCCCGGCCCCGCCTCTCTCGGCGCTTTCCCCTTTGCTGCAGTTCCGGGCACAGCCGGCAGGGGCGCCGGTGGCTCCCGGCCGGGCGGGGCGGGTGCGATGATTCCCCCGCGGCTGCAGGGGGCGCTGTGGCGCCGGCCCGGCCGCCTCTCCACACGGCAATGGCGGGCGGGCTGCATGGCGGGAAGGGGCTGCAGCAGAGCCTCGGAGCGGTGGCTGGAACCGCAGGGACGAGCGGACTCCGGGGTAGCAAACGAAATGGAACAGAAACTCCGCAGCTGTAGCAGGAGCCGAGGGGAGGCCCGGCAGGCAGGGCTGCTGAGTTACAGCGCAGTGAAAAGCCCGGAGCAGTGGCAGAGAAGCGGCGGGGCTGGGCAGGGGCCGCTCGGCTCCCGAGCGCCGCCGGGAGAGGCTCCCTCGGAGCGGGAGGGACTCGGGGATCCCGGGGTGTCCCCTGAGGGGTCTACCCGAGTAGATGGGGAGGGTCCTTTGTTAGGTTAGGCAGGGGTTAATAAGGTCCCAGAGACACGGCCGCTCTCATGAGCAGTTCCGCTCACGGTGGAGGGCAGGAGGAGCCCACCCCGCAGAGATGGCGAATTCTGCCCGCAGGGGCGCAGCCTCTGAGCCTCCCCTCTGATGTCCGGAGCGAGAGAGAGCCACAGCCCCTCCCGCCAGCCCGCATCTCCCGGCACCTCTGCCCTTCCCAGGAGAATGCCCCCAGCTGCCATAGCGCAGCCGGCTCCTCTCCTCCCCCTTCTCTGGCCGTATCTTGTCTCTCTCAATTATCGGTCGCTATTGGCTCTTAGCAATAAATGGGAGAAAATTCCCTGAGAGAAAGAAACAAAAGGAAAAGTCCTAACCCCCATCAACAACAAATGATAGCAAAGAAGGTGTAATGATAGAACCTCATAATTTAACGATGGGATCACAATTCCAGGAAAACCCATGAGAGGAATAGCGGACTTGTCTTTACAAACAAGCCGTGGGTCTGCTGGTAGATAAAACCAGCACTGGGAGATAAAAGAAACAATGGGAAGGATTCCACTGATTGATGAATGGAAAAAGATATTTGCTTTTACAACTTTAGGTTGTAAAAGTTTTACAAACTTTAGGTTTGCTGATAAACGAAATTAGACATTGAAAGATGAAAGAAACAATGGGGAAGAATAACCCCTAAATTCCATAAGAGTTAAAAATTCAAAGGGAGGGTTGTACATTAGAGGGAAATCTTTGGGAAATCTGTGGTATCAGGCATATTGGGGAGTCTGAACCTCTCAAGTACCTCAGCCAGTGGGGAAAGAGAGAAGGGAAATGCAGCTGGGAAATTGAGATAAAAAGGAGGCTGCATCCTCCAAAAATTCGAGAGATCGCAGGGGAATGCCCCATGGCCTCTCCCTTTATTTGAATAAAGCCAGAGAGGACTCCTCTGTCTCCTTTTTGGACATAAACCTCTGGTGTTTGTGGATTAATTTTCCTAGCACGCAGCCTGCATAGGTGTGCAAAGCTGGGGATCAAAGCTGCGTGTCCCAGACAGCTCCACGTACCAAGGGAAGGATGTGAGCACTAAAGCCGTGTGGAGTGAAAGGATTTGGGGAGGACAAGGTGTCAGACACGCCAGAAGAGTGCAAGAGGAACTGGTCATGGGTGAAGTGGAACTGGTCAGTGCTCCAGGCCGGGGTTCAGGCAGGCAGAGGGTTCAGGCGGTGCCTGCAAAGCCCCCTGGCAGCAGCTGCCCTTGCACCCTGCTTGATTTGTGCCCAGCTGGTGCCTTCCAGAGTGACATGGCACAGCAGAGTGGAATCCCTTGTGTTCCCTGTGCCTGGCAATAAGGCCATCACCCCTGGACGCGGGAGGAGCTGCCTGCAGAGCAGACGGGTGGGATGCAAAGCCCAGCACATGCTGTTCCCCATGTACCAGCTGGGCAATCGAGGTGGCACATGCGCTGCACACATCTCCACCATGAACCCACGCAGCAGGACAGAACTGGGCAAACAGCCAGGGCAGAGCCAGACCTCCCCTTCCTTCTCCCAGAACGCAGCCTGGGCACCCAGAGCAGGGCCACTGCTCTGCAGCTGGTGTCCCCAGGTGCCATCCCCAGGGGCTGGAGGTGCCCAAGAGGGCTCTGAGCATCCTGCACAGGGAGATACAGACTCCTCCAGCACTCAGGGGCTCTTATCAGCCACCTGCAGCTGGGCTGCAGCAGACCCTGTGATGTAAACAGGACCGGGCACTGCAGGAACAGGAGGAATTGCCAAATTCAAGTGTTGGATGAGGTCCCACATGGGCTGGCAGCTTCAGGGCATGGGAGGTCATTGCCCAGACGATGGGAGGGGGAAGCTTGGTGGGGTGGTACCCAGACAAACTCCCAGGTCTGCTCTCCAGCCATCCAGCCCCTCTGCACTGTGCCCTGCTCACTCAAACAGGCTGGAAGTGCTGGGCAAGCTCGGTCCAGCCATGGGCAGATGAGGGGATCAGAGGAGTGGGAAGCAGACTGCAGACCCTTCAACCCACCTCAAACCTGCTTTCCTGGAGTCAGCCTGCAGGCTGGGCAGGTAAGAACTGGCTGTGTAAAAAGCGCTGAATGCTGTGACCTTTCCATTCCTCCTTCTCTGCTTTATCATCTTCAGGCAGTCCTCGAGTCTTGGAATTCCCACTTCCAGCAGTGAATCCTGTCTCCCCCCCTGCTGATTGACTGTGGATGTGCTGGCATCCAGGATGGAGGCAGTAGAAAGTGAGACCCTGACTGATGAGGTGGAGGAGATGAGTGGAAGAGGTGAATTTTCAGAAGGGAACAGGAGGGGGAACTGTCCTCTATTGAGGACAAATGCATCCTGCTTCTGCTGTGGGACAGCTATTGAAGGTCAAAGCACTGGAGCTTGTCCCCAAACTGGGCTTTTCATGGGTTGGGACTTGGTGGCTGCAACACTCCCAGCTGAACTCTTGCTGCTCACCTGTAGGCCCAGCTCCAGCACCAAAGGCTCCTGAGCTGACATCCTTGGCCCCCTCCACTGTTCATAGAAAGAGATGTGAATCTGGGGCCATGGGTTGTGGGTCTTGGGGTAACCTCTACTGTGGTCGGCACTGGTTTGTGCCCTGACCTGCCTGTTCTCCTCTCACAGCACCAGAGACACCCAGGCTCAGGTCCAGGTGGCTGCGCTGCAGGTGTGCACCCGCCCACTCAGGTGCTGCCTCCTCCTCCAGGAAACTGAGGTCCCCTTGTCCAGGATGTGTGCAGGCCCCCGGGGTGGGGACAGGGATGGGGCAGCAGGGACAGTCCAGCCAGGGGGATTTTCCCACTGCAGGGAAAAGGAGCTCACCCTGTCCCTTCTCTTGCTGGGGTGGATGCAGCCCCAGGGCTGCCTGTTCTGAGCAGCTTCTCCTCCTCTCTCCCCAGCTGACGTGACTCTGGACCCAGACACCGCCAACCCCTTCCTCATTCTGGCCAGTGACCGGCGAGGGGTGGGACGGGGGCACGAGTGGGCCCTGCTGCCCGACAGCCCCGAGCGCTTTGACACGGAGCCGTGCGTGCTGGGCAGCCAGGCCTTCGCTGCAGGGAGACACTGCTGGCAGGTGGAGGTGGCCGAGGCAGGGGACTGGTGGGCAGTGGGAGTGGCCCAGGAGTCTGTCAGGAGGAAGGGGGTCCTCAATTTTACGCCCCAGGAGGGGATCTGGGCCGTGGGGCAGTGGTTTGGACAGTACCACGCTTTCAGTGATCCTGACTGGACCCCACTGCGCCTTCCCTGCCTCCCCACGGCCATCCAGGTCTGCCTGGACTTCACAGACAAGCAGGTGACTTTTGCTGATGCTGAGAGTGAAGCCCCAATCTTTGCTTTCTGCCTGGCCTCATGTGCTGGGGAGAGGCTGCGCCCGTGGCTCTGGGTGGGGACGGACTCGTGGCTCAAGCTGTGCCCCTGACAGGGAGGGAACATCAGGGGCAGGGGAGAGGCTGGAAAGGCAAACGCCATCCACCACCGTGGGTCCTGGTGCTGGGAACTGGGGGGGTCCTGCATCCTGCTGGCTTCTCCTCATGAGGATCCTCTGGCCTCCAAGGAGAGGACGGGCAGCTCATGGAGGTGGATGCCACAACAGAGCCTCCTTTATCCCCCCACCCTTGGCTGGGACTGCAGGGACAGCAGGGAGCACAGAGACTGGGAGCAGGGAGGAGCTTGGTGCCTGGTGGTCCCTGGCAGGGACCATCACTGAGTGCCAGGGCACTGCAGAGCTGCTCTGTATGAGGCCATGGAAAATATAGCAGGGTCCAGCTCCTCCCAGGGTGCTGGTGTAGTGCCTCTGGCTTTTTTCAATTAAGTTAAAAAACCCCAAACATAGCTGGATACCCATGATAACACTTATCTTCCCCACACATCCAGAGCCTGTCCTTGCCTGATGTGCACCAAGCACATTTCTTGCAGCAGAGCACTGGGAGCAGTGCAGGGGCAGCCCAGGAAGGAAAGCACAATGCTGAGCTGGGTCTGAAACCCACAGGAGAGGCAGGAATCCACAAGAATGGCCACAGATCTGCCATTCTCAAGGCCCCACCTCACAGGATGCTGCTAAATCCTGTCCTTAGGAGAGGAGAAGGTGAAGAGGGACATTGCCTGGGTCCAGCCTAGATTTCATCATTTCTGGTTGGACCTTCTTTACTGCCACTTCAGTTGTCATCGTTGTGGTGGCATCTGGGCACAGACAACAATATTGGTCTCCCTGCTCTACTCCAGGAGCTGCAGAGTTGCAGGACTGGGTCAAGCCCAGGTATCTGCCCCCAGAGCTCTGCCCTAAGCTTCTTCCACTGTGGTAGCATCAAGTCTGGGGAAGCCCAGGGTTCTCTGCTCCCACAGAGGCATCCTACTGTCCATGGGCAGGAGCCTCTGAGACTGTCCTTTTGCTTGGGATAGAGTTAATTTTCCTCTCAGTGGCCAGCACAGTGCTGGGTTTGGGATTTAGGGTGAGGATAATATTGGTCGCAACAAGCCAACCATCAGTCATGTGGTGTTTACGTGGCCTTCTCTGTGCCTCGTGCTCTGCCAGTGAGGAGTTGGACGAGAAGCTGGGGGGGAGCACAGCCAGGACAGTGACCCGAACTGGCCATTCAGATATTCCACACCATAAAACATCCTGCCCAGTGTGTAAACTGGGGGAGCTGCTGGTGAGGGGCTGATGGCTGCTGGGAGACAAGCTGGGCACAGATAGCGGGTGCTGAGCACCTACACTGGACATCACTTGTTCCACTTGGGGTTTATATTTTTTTCATTACAATTATTATTATCATTAGTATTATTATATATTACTTTTATCTCAATTATTAAACTGTTTTCATCTCAAATCAAAAGGTTTTTTCCCCCCATCCGCCTTGGAGGGTGGTGTGTGACTGAGTGGCTGTGTGGTGTTTAGTTGTCAGCCGGGGTTACACTGTGACAGAGGTTCATAGCAGAAGGTTGGTATATGGAGATGGCAGATTGTCAGTTCTGTATTTTTGTCCTTTGTCATGCAAAACGTCCCAAAAGAGCTGTGCTGTGCATTTAGGGCCACCTACTTCAATCAAGAAGAAGAAATTCCTTTCTGAAAGCCAACTAAGTCCCTCAGACTGGAGAAAAGTTGGGTTTTTCAATGGATTGGTGTCTGGGAACTTCTTCACTGGAATTTTGTGGTCTGGAGGGAGTAAATATTTTTTGTTTCCTTTTTGATGTGTCTCCCAAAAATTAAATTTTAAAAAATCATCTCTCTGGGAGCTGAGTTACATAATTGCAGCATTTGTGTGAGAAATACAGTTTCATGTAGAATTGCACCACAAAGACTCAGGGGAGCTTAAATTCAGCTCTCAAATGTTGGAGGTCTCTGCATGTTGGAACCACAACGGGTAGGAAGGGTAAGGAACCCCAGGGTCCTTGAGCAAGGCTGGACCCACCTGGGCTCTGAGTGGTTCTGGGGAGGCAATCGGGGCTGGGGGTTTGTGCCACAGCCAGCACATGGCAGCAGTGACTGCTGCCCCCAACCCTGCCTGCACAGCGAGGCCACAGGGCTCTCCTGAAGCCCTTGGGCCACAGCAGGGTGGGATCAGACCCTGGGACCCTCCTGCTGCCAGGGAAAAACGCTGCAGCAGTGGAGAGGGGAAGCACCTCAACAAACATGCTCTTCTCAGCATTGGTCTGTCAGACATGCTCCAAACAAAGCCTGCCAGGATTTGGCACATCAGCCAAACAACCGTGACTGACCGCCCTTCCCATGGAACTGTTTCCTTTTTCCCGGTGAGCCCTTTCCCTGGCACTTCTGCTCCTTTTACACTGTTCTCGCTGTTGCAGATGCCACTTTGTCTTCTCCCCACCCTGCCAGATTGCTGTGTGGCATCACAGTTTCATTTTAAAGGTCTGGCTGAGCCAACCACAGCACTCTCTTTTTTTAAACCTTTTTTTTCTTTTAATATAAACAAACCCAGAAAATCCTTGATTTGAGAGCTTGGCCAAGTAACTCATCCAAGGTCTTGCCCAAGGCTAAAGCCTTGTCCAGGACCTCAGAAATGCATCCAGCATTGGTGTTGCAGTGCTTTGAGTGGCACTTTAAATGGGCAGCTTCACATTTTCCAACCCCCTGCTGCAAGTGTGGCGCGACCAGATTTGCAGCACAGGTGCAGGGCTGGGGCCAAGGCTGCAGGGGATGTTGGGTCCCCTCACTGCTCCACACAACAGGGAACGATGGCTGCCCAAGTCTCTGCCCTGAGGCTCCCTGCCCTGCAGCCCCTGGCATGGTGCTGTTCCTGGGTGGCTCTCAGAGCCAGCTGGTAGCGAGCACACAGAGCAAGGCTCCTGCCCTGCAGCTCCTGCACACGTGGGCACAGCTCGGGCACAGCTCTGACACAGCTCCTGCACACATGGGCACAGCTCAGACACAGCTGGGCACAGCTGGGCACTGCCCACCATGACCCCACCAGGGCTTGCAGACGTGTCCAGCGTCTCCCACAGCCCTGCAGTGAGGGGCTGGGCTGCAGGGCCGTGGGCAGGCCTGGGTCAGGCAGCTCACAGGGAGCCTCTGTAGGGTGGCATCACGCAGCATCAGGGTCGCTCCATGCAGCCCCATACACACCCCTGGCCCAAACAGGGGCCAAAGGACTCCTGGCTTGGCCCACGCCAGGCAGGCTTCTGTACACTGACAGAGAAACTGCCCAGAAATGAAAAAGCCCTGGCTTTTGTCCAACTTTGAAACCTCTGCTGGGGCCCTGGGGCTGGCCATGGCAGCTGCTGCAGGCAGGGGGTACTGGGGGGCTCTCAGGGAGGCAGCCTGGGCTCTGCAGCCCTGGCCCCCTCCAATAACAACACAACAGTCCAAAGTTTGTCTCACTTTTATTTACATCATTGCACAGCCCATTTCCCCAGAACGACTGGAATGTGGTGGGTCAGACACCATTGCCCACATCCACGAGCTGAACATCTCTGGGAAGGAGGACAAGACTCAAAGAGTCACTGCTGAGTCTCGTGGGGGCACATGCAACAACTCCAATTATTGGCAATGACAACAAAGCCAAGGATGCTGAGTGCAGCCACGGCCACACACAGGACCGGGCCCCCACTGCCCCAGCCAAGGGCTTCTGGCTTTCACAGTTGCATATTTGGATTGATGGTGGGTTTCTTAACTGGAACACTGGCTCCATGAAGTCCTTACCCTGGGGACATGCTATGGGAGACAGCATCCCTCATCACCTGCCACAACTCGGTGCCTTGTGGGGCCAAGCTCCCGGGAGGCAGCCAGGGCTGGGAAGGTTGAACCTCCCCTTCCATTTTTCTTCACTGGTGATGTCCTGGTGACCAGGGGGTTGTTGGGAAGGGGCTGAAGGAAGGGACACCCAGGACAAGGCACGGAGCAGTGGTGCAGAGCCTGCTGCCATGGAAGGGGTGTGCAGGGCGGGATCACCTGCGTGGGAATGGGATGGGACTGGAGTAGGGACTGTGACTGGAGAGGGCTGCAGCAGCCTCTCCACCAAGAGTACCAGAAGCAGAGTAATCCCTGCATGAGTGCATGACTGGGAAAAGGGCACACAGCCCAGGGATGTGGAAGAGGGGAGGGGACAGTTGGGGAGCAGAGATGAGCAGCCTGGCTGCAGCAGAGGACATTCACCCACAGTCACACCAGCCCCTCACGCTTGGAGGAGAGACCAGTTCAGAGCAGCCCTCGGGGCACAAAGAGGCTGCTGCAAGGTGTGTCAGGGTATCCCCAAGCTGCACCTGGGAGAGGGGACAGAGGAGAGCAGACAGACACCAGGGCCAAGGGCTGGAGCAATCCTGTTGGGGAAGTTGGCACGCTGGTCCCTGCTGCTCAGGCCACCAGCAACTTCCAGCTCAGGCTGAGGGAACACACAAGGAAACACATCCTGCTTTGCAGCTAGAGAGGAGGAGGAGGAGGAGGAAGTGCACATGGTGCTTTGAATTCAGGAAATTACAGATGTCCATCTCACAGGGCATTGCACTGACCCACTTGCTTTCAGCAAAGGGGCAGAGGGACATAGTGCATGACCACCACCACCCAGTGCAAGGACACAGGCCCTCAGAGCCTGCCTCTTGCCTGCTCTCTACCCTCACCACCACAGAGCCAGAGCCCAGGCTCCAGCAAAGCAGCTGCACACACCTCTGGAGCACCTGGCAGGGCAGCATCACAGCCAGTGTCCTCACAGCCTGTGCCACTCAAGGCTCAGGAGAGATCAGCACCAGGCACTGTCTGGCAGGGTGAGGTGGCAGAGGCAAGGACCAAAGCCAAACCAGGGGGACTCTTGGCAAAGGGGGCACTCTGTGACAGAGGGCTTTGAGAACTGCAGGTGCTGGAAACACAGGTAAAAGGAGGAGGAGACGGAGGAACACTGGCCCCACTGGACAAGGGACCCAGAGCCTGTTCTCTGGGACCAGCAAACTGGGGGGTTTCACTAGAGGACACAACAGGCAGGCAGCGCTACCAGGGATGAACCCAATGCCAGCAGCTCCTCTGGAATGTGCAAATAAAGCGCAGAGACAGCCAAGAGCACCTGCGTCCTGCCAGGGCACGGCCTGTCCCCTAAGGTACGTGTGAAACTGATGCTACAGGAGGTCCAGCCTCAAGCTGGCAAAAGGACATCGGCAAACAGAGACTCCAACTCCCGCCTTCTGGGGTCAGGAAAGCTCCTTTCTCACTCTTTGCAAAGCAAAAGGCAGTGGTGGGTTTAGCTAGTACGGAGCCATCTCTTCCCACCCTCGGATCCTCCATCCACCTTTGCCAGACAGACCAAGGGCTGAGTGCATCCGAGTCCTGGGGATAAGCCAGGATCTCAAGGAAAGCATTTTGTGAGATCATGTCTGCGCCGGAAAAGATTCTCTCACTCTGAAACTGATTTTGAAATTCTCAAAATTACAGTACTTTACAATACAAAATGTCTCCATTCAGTATTATGTCATTTTACTCCTTCTAGGATTATAATAATTATTAAAAACACTCAACTTTCTAGAAAGGACAGAACACCACAAAAGAGACCAAAGAGTAACGGGAAGGCTGCTGTAGTATATCAAAACCAATTTAGTGCAAAGGAGAAGGGGACTTTCAAGAATGGTTGATGAAAAGTGTTCCTCATACGCTCATTTGGAGAAAAGGCATCGATTTAACCTCTGAATGAGATCAGATTGCCAGCTTCTATCCTGAAGCTTAGAACATCAACACAAAAGGACTGTAACACAATATGCATGGCCATTAAAAAATAATATTATATATAGATATATATATATATATATGGAGAGAGAGAGAGGGAGATGTTTTCCATGTATGGTATGTCATTATAGGAAAGTGTCCCTGCAGACAGGCATTTTCTGCCATCAGGCTCTTTTGGGCCATTTCCCCCACAGATGTTTTTAATGTGTCTCTTTGCGAAGGCCTAAAGCACGTGCTGAGGGCAGAGTGCCTTTGGGTGGGATGATTGTTTTCCAGTGCCCCCACAGCTGCCACGGTCCCTGGGCCTGTGGGGATGCCCGACCCTGCGCCGTGGCCGCCCGTGGCACGGCTCAGACCGTGGTCTCATCCGCGGCCTTCTTCATGAGCTTGGCGGAGAGCAGGGAGTGGGGCACGGGGTGGGGGCTCCGCGAGGCCGGGAGCATCAGCCGGACTTTCTGGTTGGTCCTTCGCCACTCCGAGTACAGCTGGCAGTGGTAGCGGAACGAGACCTGGCGGGTGAGAACGCAGCACTGTCACAACCCTGCCTGTGCTGTCACCAACCCCTGCCGTGCTGTCACCAACCCCGGCCACACTGTCACCAACCCTGCCTGCACTGTCACAACCCTGCCTGTGCTGTCACCAACCCCTGCAGCGCTGTCACCAACCCCAGCCGTGCTGTCACCAACCCTGCCTGCACTGTCACAACCCTGCCTGTGCTGTCACCAACCCCTGCAGCGCTGTCACCAACCCCGGCCACGCTGTCACCAACCCCGGCCACGCTGTCACCAACCCCAGCCATGCTGTCACCAACCCTGCCTGCACTGTCACCAACCCTGGCCACGCTGTCACCAACCCCAGTCACACTGTCACCAACCCCAGCCACACTGTCACCAAGCCCGGAAGTACTGTCACAACCCTGGCTATGTTGTCACAACCCCAGCCACGCTGTCACAATCCCAGTCACGCTGTCACCAACCCTGGCTGTGCTGTCACCAACCCCAGCCCTGCCTCGGAGCACACACAGGGACGCTTGATGCCCACACCCCTCTGCCTCCGAGGACCCTTTATCCCGAGGCAGGGACACAGCAGTGACCCCGGCACGGTGTGGGGCGCTCCGTGTCCCAAGCCTGACAATCGGTCCCTGCCTGGGGACACCAGGCTGAGTGGGCACAGCCAAAGGGGCCCTCGGGGCAGCACCAGCAGAGTTTGGGGTTTGCTCAGCTGCGTTTGGGTCCGGGCTGGTGCAGGGTGTGGGGATGAGCTGCACCTCACGCCTTCATCCAGCCCCGGGCTCCAGCAGCACCTTCAGTGAGCAACACAAAGCTCTGAACCCAACCAGCCTCCTCCCATCTCACAGACCCTGGGGACCTTCTTCGTCCTGCACAAAAACCTTCCCTCCTCTGTCTGCAACAACAGCACAGCAGCTGGACTCATTTTTTCCTGACAGCACCGTGGCCTGGGAGATTTGTCTACCCGGAGGGAGACAGGGGAGGATGCAAAGGCTGGAGGGACCCAGAGCAGCCCAGCAGAGGCCCGAGATGGCCCTGCAGTTTCAGAGCAGCCCTGCGAGGGGAGCTTTGAGCTTGGCCTAAACACTGAATGCAGTCAGGCACTGACCTAAACCAGGCCTTCTTAAGGGAAGCATTTAGCTGGCAACTGGGACGTAGCAGGAAGTGCATCTGACACAGAAAACTCAGTAAAACTGAGTTCTAGATGGGTCTACGAGACATCTTATGAGAAATGAAGCTGTGCCACTGTGGCACTGAGGTAACTGAGCTTACTGATCTGTGCACACTCCTCCTTCCTGTGGCAGAGGGATTGTGGCAATAAGACATTTTGCTGACAAATTCATGTCCCAGTTTTCAGAGAATAGGAAGTTAATGATGGGAACCTCAAAGAAGGCTCCTGTTCCTCACAAAGGAGCTGCAGCCTTGGCTACAGCCTCTCTCACAACCCTCACACTGGTTACAGCCATGAACTCCCTCCCACATGTTGTCCTCTTGGACTGCACCGCCCAGGGCTGAACAAGCTGAATATAAATAAAAGGCCTTCACCTAATGTCCTCCTCTGCTCAAGGAAATGTGAAACACAGCAGAATTAGAGCCATTTTAGTCAGGACTTGTTACTGCACAAACATTTTTCCATTTCCTCCAGGTTTCCAGCTCCTCCCCACCAGTCCTGAGATAGAGGAGACGGAGACACTTCCTCTTAAGGTTTCCAATTTTAGCTTGGCTTCCTACAGAAACAAGCTTCATGCAGGAACATGCAGCATGGAAACTTTCCTGCATGGCTCCCATGCAAGGAGTGCCTCCAGCTTTGCCCCCAGGCACTCTCACCCTCAGAGCAGGGGCTGCTGCAGCACCAGCTCATCCTGCCCTGGTTCCCAGGTCTGTGAGAGAGATTGTAAGGAGTGTCCAGCCCCAGAGGAAGGGGTTACTCTGTGAAATTGGAAAATGGCATGACAAGGAAATGGACTGGGGAATTTCTATTGCCCACAGGACTCCCAGCTTTTTGGAGTCCCACTATTTCTCCTGCATCAAGTGCACTTTTTCCCTTCCCAAAATGATGTTTCCCTGCAAGGAGTTGGAAAAGGGCATTGACAGGGCACGAGCACACAAAGGGCTTGCTTGGAATAGGAGAGCCAAAATCAAGATCCAAACCCAGAAATCCACTCAGCATCACAAGACAAAAGAAGTGAATGGGAAACAGAGGGAAGTCCCTGGCCCAGCAGCCCCTAGAGAGAGCAGCCCTGGGGCCCTGGGGAGGGACCAGGCAGCCCCACTGAGCCTCCACTTGTGCCACATGCAAACCTGCATTCACTGTCCTGCCCTTCTCTGCTCCCTGCAAAGATGCAAGCTCCTCGCCCCCTAATTCAGCACGCCCAGAAAAGGCATCTGCATGAAGCTCTCTCCCGGCAGGGACCAGTTCAACCCCAGACTGGCTCAAATGCAGGTTCCCAGCAATGCCCAGTGCCCCCCATGCAGCAGTGTGCCAGGGCCACACTGGCTACCAAGCCTTGACTTGGGGCCGACCACACAACCCAGCATCAGAGCAGCCACGGGTTTCCCCAGGGCCAGAGAGTTCCTTCCACACACCTTAAAAATACTGTGCAGGAATTTGTTTAGTTGTGGCCAGAGACCCCCAAGGCCAGTCTGCACCCCAGCTGGGCACAGCTGGTCTGCTCTGAGCAGCAAATCACAGAGGAACATGGTGGTAAATTATTTAGGCATCAAATGTGTACCATATTTTACTTTTCCCCTGCACTGCCCAGGTACCAAGTCTGTGCTTTTTCTTGAACCACAGATGGACCACTGCCTGACCCAGCCCCAAGCCCTTCCCTTCCCACCCAGCCTCAGCCCCATGCCAGCTCTGGCACATCTGTGGCTGGTTGGGCTCTGACACTTGGGGAACACAGTCTGGAAAGCAGATGAATGACCAGCAGGTGATTTTCCATTCTCAGCTCGCACATGAAGATAACTAAATGGACGTCAAGTGGAAGAGCCCAAGGTGTTCTCACACAGGGAGGTAGAAATAGCACTGAAGAGCTGTGAGCCAGTGCTCCCAGCTCCTCGGGAGCAGGACGCTGGCAGCTGCCACTTACCAGTGTCCAGAGGACGTAGATGGTGAAAAGTGCTATAGTGAGTGCTATGAGTCCGATGGCCTCCAGGCGGCTGTTGAACTGCAGGTGGTCCTGGGCGCCGCGCAGGCACAGCCAGCCCGAGATGGCCGCCAGGGGAGTGATGAACAGGAAACACACCATGTCACAGAACAGCGTCCTCTTCTCATTGCGGGGCCCGGGGTCCTTCAGCCACTGCGGGAAGGAGGAGAGGGATCAGCCTGGGACAGGCAGGAGAGCCGGGAGCTCTGGCTGCACTGTGCAGTCTGACTCACACCAACCTTCTCCTAAAGGGAACCAGAGAGTGGCAAGTCTAGGTGTTGGGAATTTAGCTGCTAGAGAATGGAAAAGTACAAAGCCGTGGCTAATTCCAAGTCCTGCACCTGTGAGATAGTGTGTCCTTGGGCCTAGCTGTAGTAGGATAACAAACAGTGAAAGAGACATGAGGAAAGAGAGATGTAACCCCTAAAGAATGAAGAAGAGTTCATGGTATAGTTTAACCAATAGATTGCTTAACTTACAGAATATTCATAAGCTTATTATTTGCTGTATAAGTGTTTGATACTTTCTTCAATAAACTAGACCTGTGATGAACCACCTGGTGTCCTAGTCCCCTTCCTACGACATCTAGGTTCAACAATTAACAAGGGAAATGGAAGAAACAGTTAATGAACATGTACAGGGAAAGGCAGTCATGAATACAGAAGCTCCTGGACTCTCCTCTGGAGTAGTGAGGAGCAGGCACTGCAGGACATCAGTTCAGTAAAACCTGGCTTAATATGGATCTGACAGGTCTTGGACTAAACTTCAACAGAAACAGACCCAGGACTCTCAGTGGTGAAGGGGCTGTGGGAAACAAGGGCACTGGGTCTGCAGCAAGGCCAAGCTATAACAGCATCTGTCCCAAATCTAGCCTTGGGCTCCTGTGGGAGAATCACAGCATTTTAGAGTTTCACAGGCAATCTCCAAATGTTTCTTTCTTTTGGGCGTCCTGACTTGCTTCCAGTGTGGGTTCATTTTAGATACTTCAGCAACAGCAATTGTTCTATGTTCCTAGAATTATGCTATTTTCAGCCTTTCCTTTCCTTTTTTAGAATAGCAAGAAGCTGTGGTTCCTACAGATACCAAATTGTTACAGCACATCTTTACTGGGATCTGTGTGTGCTGGCCTGCAGATTCTTCCTTCTTCTCCTCACAAACATGACTGCCTCATTCAGGATTTTTTGAATTTTATTTTTAGATAAGACTTGGAGAATATTATTGAAAAGGCACAGGCAGAGCAGGGAGGAGACTATCAGGGTCTGGGCTGTCAGGCCAATCCTGCTGTATGGTACCTGCTTTGGAACAGACAGCTTGGGCAGGGACTCATCTGGGAATTCTGCACACAAAGCTCCTTTCCTACTCAGAATCCACCCTTCAAGGAGCAACACAGAAGTGGTGGTGACAGGTCTGCAAGAAATGATGGGATCTCAGCAGAGGTGACCTGAGGTCATGGCTGGCCAGAGGCATGCAGGCCAAGAGGGAAGCAAGACAGGGGGTACAGAGGTGAGGGCAGATTTAACTGCAGCAGGGATGTTCAGTGAGACAGAGCAAAAGGGCAAGAATGGGACTGGAAGCACAGCCAACTTTTGTGGAAATGGGAAAGAGAAGGGGCAGCTGGCAAACCTGGGCATGGAACAGGGGGGTAGCTAGGCTGGTTAGAGCCACAGGAACAGCAGGTTCTGCAGCACCTGGGACAGGACACTGAGCTGGCCATGAGCAGAGGAGAGGATGCTGCAGTGACAGGAATGAGCCTGGCCTGGAACTCCAGCTGGGAGGACTCATAACCACAGTATTTTAGAGATGTGACCTGAATCATTTGAACACTTCACTGGTAACAGTCAAGGAGCATTCATTGATTCTAAAGCCATTTGGAGCATGACTTGATGGGCAGACAGCCAGGAGAAAACCTCAAAGAATCACAGAATCACTAAGGCTGGAAAAGACTTCAAGATCATCAAGTCCAACCATCAACCCAGAGCCACCCCCAAACCATGTCCTCAAGTCATCCACACACTTTTTGAACACTTCAAGGGATGGTGGCTCCACCACTGTCCTGGCAGCCAGTTCTAATGCCTGACAACCCTTTCTGTGAAGAAATGTCCCCAGTATCCAACCTAAACCTCTTCTGGCACACCTTGAGGTTGTTCACTCTCATCCTGTCGCTTCTTCCCTGGGAGCAGAGCTCAACCCCACCTGGCAGCATCTTCTTATCTGTCAGGGACAGACAACAGAAGGTCTCCCCTGAGCCTCCTTTCCTCCAGGCCGAGCCCCCCAGCTGCTCCTGGTACTCCAGACCCTTCCCCAGCTCTGCTGCCCTTCTCTGGACACACTCCAGTGCCTCAGTGTCTTTCTTGGACCAGACAGCCACCCTGGGACTTGAGGGGGGGGCTCAGCAGTGCCCAGCACAGGCAGATGGCCACAGCCCTGCTCCTGCAGCCACACTGTGGCTGGTACAGGCCAGGTGCCATTGGCCTTTGTTCAGTGTGTTGCAATTTCCTGGTTTAGATTTCCCAGTCCCTTCCCAGGTGTGGCAATACCTCTCTCCCTTCCCCCTCGCCCCCTTGCTGAGTGAGTTCTGTCAATCAGTCAAAATTCCAGCAAGGCCTCGTGTGGTTGGTCAGGTTCAAAGGATGCAATTCACGCCTGGGGTCATTGGCCTGTCTGGGTGTCCCTCGTCCCCTGAGACCCTCCTCCTCCCACCTGGTTGCTGCTCACCTGTCCCTTCCCCTCCCCCTGTCCCTGGGCTTCAATTGATCCAGAACCATGTGCTAGGGATTCTGTTGGAGCTGTTACCAAGATTCAGACATCTGTGACCACGGAATAAAACTCTGGATATAAACCCTCCGACAGAATCCGTCTTCTTTTCCTCCTCACCCTAGCCTGAAGCCTTCCCACCTGAGGTAAAGTAAGTTTCTACAAGCCTGGGTTTGTTTCAGTGCCCAGCTGCAACACCCAGCCAGCCAAAAGTGTCTCTGAGGTGAAACACCACAGCTGCCGCCTTTGGCCCAGCAGCAAGGGTCAGACGGGCACGGGCACAATCTACCTGGTAATATTGGGATCATATTAAAATACAGACCTTCTTGGCCATCTGGCTCACATTCAGCCACTGCTGACCAGCACTACCAGGTCTTTTCCAGTGGGCAGCTTTCAGAGCAGGCAGAACTGTCATTTGGACAGCACTGGGAGAAGGGAGGCAGACCTGCAGCTCCCCCCTGTATGGCTCTGCAGAGCAATCAGTGTGAGCAGCTGCATGGGGACAATCAACACCACACATGCAGTCTGAGCAGGTCTGGGGGGAAGTGAGGGTGGACAGCAACTCACTGGCACAGGAAAGCTGCTCCCATACACAGGGCTCAAACCCAGCCCTGTGTCAGGCTCCCCCCAGTCCAGGGCCAGGACACAGCACTCAGGTGAGTGCCACATCACCCTGTCTGGACCAAGCCCCCTCCAGCAGCAAGCCCAGAGCACCCCATTCTATGCAACAGGACATGTTGGAGCACTTCTGACCCTTGTACAGTAAGAAGCTCAGGCAGATAAGTATTTCACTGCATCTTAATTCTATTTATATTCCTTGTGACTTTTGAAACCCCTTCCTCCTTCCCAAGATGGGAGACAAACATATAAAGGCAGGAAGCAAATTAATTTCCTTTTGAAGCAGTTGATTTACTTTGCCAATATGCACTGACACAGTAACAAAATGGAAAACAATAAGTCACTCTAAGGGTGCAGCATTTCTGGCACAGCAACACTTTGTTGCATACAGGACTTTAAATAAACTTTGCCAACAATCCATAAAATGGTCAGGCAGATTAAACAATTTTTGTAGGGAAAACTATCAAGTGAGCACGGGAAAGCAACAAAAGCACAACTTGGTCTTCTTCTAGCAGCTTCCACACTACAATCATGTCTGAGACTGAAAGGAAAGAGGCAGGGGTGGCTGCTTGCTGCCATTTGGGCTATGAGCTGAGCCCCAGATCCTGCTTGCAACAACTTCTCTCTGCTTGTGTGACAGAATTCTGGGTATAACCATACTTCTTTGTCCTCCAGCATGATCCTGAGGCTTTTCCTGATACTGGGATCAGCAGGGTTGTGGAAAGGAGCTCATTTCTTAGAGCCACAGCAGGGCTGTGGGATGATGAGAAGCTGACCTTTGGGTGCTGCAGTGCCCATGAAGCCTGGGTGAGCCCAAGGGGATGGGAGGCAGGAGGAGAGCAGGCAGTAAAAGGCACCAGGACATCATCAGCTCCTCTGGAAGCCAAGAGCAGAACTCAAGGCATATCAGAGCAGTCTCTCACCCATCCCAGCACCTGCTGCTCCATGTATCTCAGGGATGGGCTGCATTCTGCCCCTTGGGGCCAAGGGGGGTGGACACAAGAGGGACTCTCCCAGCAGCACTCAGCACCTTGCAGTCTGTCTGGAGGCTTAAAAATGGGTGCTTTAAAAACTAGCTTTCATGGATTCTTAGAGCTGACTCACCTTGAGGGGCTGAATGTGAGCTGTCAGCTGTCTCATGACCACATCCCATGCAGCACTCAGTGCAGCACAGCACTGGGGGGACCAGCAGGTGCTCACATCCCTCCCTGCCCTGCACTGGACCCCTCATTTGGTAACCATGAGTCAGGAGCAGTGTGACCTGCCAGCCCCACCATCAGCCCTGCCAGAGCTCCCCACGTGCTTCACAGCCACAGCACCACACAAGCATTTGGCTGCATTACAAAACATCCCACATGCTTTCTGCCCACCAAACAGTTACCCCCTGGCTTCTCAGGTGCCTGCTGATTTTCCTTTCACTGCTGACCTGGTGCCTGGCTATAAAAGCCAGAAAAAAAATCACATTAACTTGATCACATCAGCATTATTAGTCCTGTACATGTACTGGGAAACATGTTGAATCAAATAGTACAGCTTCAGATGAAGGACTCTCATATCCCTTCTCTGGGCCTGCACCAAAACCTTTCTGCAGGCCACTGTGCTCATGGGCCACTGTGCTCCATTCAGCCCCAGCAGAATGGTCCTGTCTCCTTCACCAAGGTGGGAAGGGATGTTTTCTGACAGAGTACCCAGAATTCAGGAAGCCAAGACCCAGAAATGCCCCTAGCCCTGCAAGCAGAGCAGTTAAATGCTGCACAAAGCTGCCCCTCTGCAATGCTCCA